TGTCCGCCACCGGTAAGGCCAGCGGGAAGCGGGTGAGGCGGGTGCCGGATGCACCCTCGCCCCGGTGACGGGCCTCAAAGGGGCCCCCGAGCGCCCGGCAGCTCCCTCCCTGCACCCCAAAGGCTGGTTGGAGGTGGCGCTGCCAGTGATGGTCCCCGATGGGTGCCGGCCAAGACCCCGGTGTCCCTGGGGTCTCGGCACAAGAAGACCCCACGGGGGGTGGTGGATGCAGCCTGCCTGGTGGGTGGGAGCTGGGTGGTGCGGGGGGGGACTCGGGGAGAGACAGGGCGGGGTGCCCCCATGGCAGGGGGTGGTGCGTGGGGGGACTCGGGGAGAGCAAGGGCTGGGTGTCCCCATGCCAGGGGTGTCCCCATGCCCGGGGTGTCCCTGTGCCCAGGGTGCACCCATGGCGGTGTCCAGGGTGTCCCCATGCCCAGGGTGCCCCACCATGCCCATGCTCAGAAGATGCCGGTGTCCAAGGTGTCCCCATGGCAGTGCCTGTGGTGTCCCTGTCACCAGGGTGTCCCCATGCCCAGCGCATCCCTGGTGTCTGCCCACACCAGGGTGCACTCACGCCCTCCCCAGCACCCATGGGAGAGCTGGGTGGCCCTGAGGCGGGTCCCTGGCCCCACACCAGCTCTGGCTATGCAGGAAGAGCTGGGTGCTATCAGCACCCACCAGCCCCAGCCACAGCTCCCCGGCCACTGACCAGCACCCGGCTTATCGCACCCATGGGAGCAGGCACCCACCACCATGGGGTGGGCTCAGGGCTGCGGTTATGGGCACAGGACCGTGGCGGAGCCAGATGTGCCGGTGATGCTGCTGGTGATGGACGTCCTGTGGTAGGGCTGGGTGTGTCGTGGTGGTACCAGGTGTGCCGCGGCTCTGCCTGGTGTCCCATGGCCGTGCTGGGTGACCCGTGGTGGTGCCGGCTGTCCCATGACGGTGCCAGCTGTCCCGTGGTGGTGCCGGCTGTCCCGTGGTGGTGCTGGCTGTCCCACGACGGTGACAGTTGTGCTGTGGTGGTGCCGGCTGTCCCATGATGGTGCTGGCTGTCCCGTGGTGGTGCTGGCTATCCCATGGTGGTGCCGGCTGTCCCATGATGGTGACAGTTGTGCCGTGATGGTGCCGGCTGTCCCATGGTGGTGCCAGGTGTCCTGTCATGGTGCCGGCTGTCCCATGATGGTGACAGTTGTGCCGCGATGGTGCCGGCTGTCCCATGGTGGTGCCAGGTGTCCT